TGGTACAATGGGTGTGGCCAGTATTGTGATATCTATTTTTGTAGAGGACTCCATCTGTGTACTGCCTTCTTCTGTATTAAGTCCTCTACTTGTTTTAGTTGAGACATAGCTTGAGAGGTCAACTTCCTGAGGGAGTTCAGATCAGGATCTCCATGAAGGATATCAAACAAATCACGCAACTGGTGAGCTGGAATACAAAGTATAGGCCTTAACCAATTGATTCACCTAACAATTTTTGGAAATCATTTAAAGTTTTCAAATTATCTTTTCTGATTTCTATTTTTTTGTGGTTTCACTTCTATGTTATCAAACAAATAGCCTAAAAATGAATATGGAGGTTCTTTTTGAATCTTATCTGTAGCTATCACCAATCCATAGGAATTTAATGGCCATATTGTGTTTTGTAAAATAAGTTCCAACTGTTCTCGATCTGGATGAGCACACAAAATATCATCCATATAATGTATGATGTAAGCTTCAGGAAATTGTTTCCTAATGGGCTGTAAGGCAGTATGTACATACTTCTGACATAATGTAAGGCTATTTTTCATTCCCTGAGGAAGAACCTTCCATTGATACCTCGCATGAAGGGCCCTCATGTTAGTAGATGGCACTGAGAAGGCAAAATATTGACCATCATCTTTATGTAGTGGTATTGTATGAAAACAACCTTTCAAATCAATGATCCATAAAGGCCAATCCCTAGGAATCATTGTTAATGATGGTATACCAGGTTGTAAACTCCCCATTGATATCATGGCGTCATTTATTTTTCTCAGGTAAGTTAACATATGCCATTTTCCTGATTTTTTTGATAACAAAAATAGGAGAGTTCCATGGACTATTAGATGGTTCTATGTGTCCACTATTTAATTGTTCTTGTACTATTTGTTGTAAAGCCATCAGTTTTTCTGTAGGAAGGGACCACTGCTCGACCCAGATTGGTTTTACTGTTTTCCATTGAATAGGGTCTGATGTTTTTAAAGATGGCTGTTCAGCAGCGTCCCCTGTTAAAAATGGGTATGTATATCAGTTCCAATGACTACATGCATTTGTTCTAAAACATCTCGGCCCCATAAACAAAGGGGTAATGATGCAAGAACGTAACAGCAAGTTTCACTAATCACAGCTTAAAGCCAGATACTATTCTTTTTTTACTCTAATGGAGTTGTAATAAGCAATAAAGATTTATCAGGACCCATGTACATAAGAGATTTTACTTAACATATTTCTGTCTCAAATTTAAACTTGTCCTGGTGTAAAAGCCAATCATTGGAAATCACTTCTTATCTACTGTACATAAATTTGCAACTTTTCAGCAAGCCAAGTTCATTGTTTAAGAACCGCATGACCCAAACAAGTTCCTTTCTCAGGGCACATGACCTTGGCCACACAGATGGTGTCCAAGGGCCTTGGCAAGATTACAAAATAAGCAGAATTGCTCTGTACCCCAGGGAGGGGCTGATCGTGGTACCCCTGCCTGCCCTCCCAAGGAGGACTGTTTTGAATGGGCAGAACCAAGCTGGATAAGGCTTTTACCAATCCTCTCCTTTTCATATAGTAATCAATTAACAATTCCAGGTTTTAACATTAAACAGTAACTTCAAATAGTTTTACACCATTCTTTCACTGTCATTTAGTTTCTTTAAATTCATACTTTAATAACATCCAAATTATGAAAAGCTACTTGATATAACTAGCACAAAAGTTTACCAATTTGAAACAATTCTAGGTGTTTAAAATTGGAAACAAATATATTACCAAGTAAGTGACTCCAAGTCTTTTGAATGCATTTCCAAATTTCCTGACATACAAAATCGGGCATCTCTCCGTCACTGACATTGTATACTGGTCACATCTAATTAAGGAACTAATAATAATAGTTGTTAACAGTTTTAGTGTCTGCCCTCTGCGAGGCATTGTGTTAGGCACCTTCCAATCATGTGAGATAAACTGAGGTAATTTGTTTAATGTCACCCAGTTAACAAATTTCAGATCCCTACATTTTCCCAATTTACCTTAGTGCCAAACAGTATAACAAATTTTGACTTAAGCATTAAGTTAAAAACATCACATTTCATTTAAAATATTATCAGAATGAATTAAAATACCTTTTGATTGTTCTGGTACACAAAAACTTTTCTCTTATGTGAGGCAGAAAAGATTAAGTGCCACCTGTATATTTATCTGGGGAGAAAAGGTTCCCCATCTTTCTTGTCTCTCCCTCCACATTCAAAACTTGGCCAGAGTTAGAATGTAGAGAGAGAGAGAAGATTTATTTTTTCCAACAATTCTTCAAAAGTTTCCAAATCTTTTACTTTCAAACCCTCTGTTCATACTGTTCATGCAAATAGATTATGCTTTTCTTTTTACCCATACTTCTCTCATTCCTACATGCTTAAACTTTCTTGCCTTTTCTTCTGGTGGACTTTGATTAAAGTCCCTTTAAAACTGCACATATCTTATTTCTTTCTAATTTTGACTTGACATTTCAAAGCTCCTTCTCGACTTGCCTTTTACCAATCATATAACCTAAATAATAAAGTATTTTTCTTTCTTTCTCTCTCCCATCCACCCGCTCCCTTGAGGCTGCGATAATAAGGGAGGGAGCGGGGGAGAGAAAGAAAGTGGCATTCCAGAGTCCAGCTGCAGTCTTGGAAACTGGAATGCTATTTTCGCTACCTGGCTACAAAGGATGACAAATAACACACAGGACATTCACTCATACCACATAGACAAACACAGAACAGATACATAATAATAATAGGGAAAATCAAAAAACTGGAATTAGCTTCTCGTACAGTTATCATAATAATTCATTTTTCAAAACAAAAAATCCCCCCTTTCTGGACATATTTTAGCAGTCAAAAGGACAAAGAACAGTAGTTCCAATATTATCTAATAAGGTCATGACATAAGGAGCAGTAGGGCCATAAGCCGAAGCTGCCTGTTTAAGTTCTTCTAGTATTTTGAAATTTAAGGTTTCATGTTGTCTTAAAATATTAGCAGGATTTCCTGGATCAGGGATTTCAAGGACAGGAAGAGCTTGAAGAAACTCACATGGTACTGTTTCTTCAGATTTTAATGCTCCAAGGATGGCTCGCTGAACGGGAGCAGAGGCTTTTTTAAACATATTATCAGGAAAAGGGTCTGGTGGAGATGGAGGTGCGGTCGGTTCTAAGGGGTCATCTGACCAAGACTCTTCCCTATCTCTTTCTATCTTTTCATTCTCTGTTTGTGTGCCTGGATCAAAGGTACGAACCTGTCTTGTTTCAGTGGGTGATAGCATGCAAAGTTTAATAACATTAAACAAGGAGAAAGCTGAAACAGGGAAATTTTCAGGGCCTGCAGTTTGATAATATTCATTCATTTGTTCTCCTACTTTTTTCCATCTTTTTATATCTACAGTTCCTTCTTTAGGGAACCAGGGAGAACAAACATAAATTACAGACAAAAATTCCTTGATTTGTTTTGTGTTGCAGTAAAGACCTTTCTCTTTCATAAGTTGTTGTAATACTCTAACATAAGTATGCTCATCTCTTTCTTTTACTTGTAATTGTCCCATTTTGTTGTTCCTTACTAGTCAGAGCTAAGCTCTGAAACACAGCTTTACTCCCCATTAAGCCTGATAGTTGCTGAGATACACTGTGCCTGTATGAATGCTCAGGAAAAAATGAAAGTGCTGCCGAAGTAGCTCATCCGAGTCTTCCCCTTACCTTGTGTGCTGCTGTGTTGCTGTGGAGCTCCTTTTCTCAAGGGGGCTGCTTTCTCTGAAGGACGAGTCTGTTCCTGGGCCTCAGCATGTCCCTATTCGGGCACCAAGTGAAGGGAGCAGCCCGTGCTCCCAAAGTGGCTCGGAGACGCAGTGAAAGAAAAGACACGGGTCAGGCAGGATGCAACCGAGTAGTCCGTTTAATGATCTGAGGGCAGGGTTTATAAAGTCTTAAACCACAGTTACGTGCCAAGACGCTATCAGCTTTGTTCCTTGTGACCTAGATATGTTGCTGTTTTCTCAGGCTCTGTGTTTCCAATTCTAGACACTCTTTATCTACAAGTACATCATGTTTTCAGGGTCATGGAGAGCCATTACAGATGATTGTGAGCATATTCTCACAGGAACAGGCCTCACATAAGTTCTGCCTGGATATAGGAACATACTCCATCTCAGCCCTCAACAGAAATCTGTCTTATTCTACAGGAAAATGGGGGGGGGGAGGGGACAAGAGAGTAGGGGGATGATAGAGAGGAGGGCAGATTGGGTAAGGGGGTAACGAGAAGCAAATACTTCTGAGGAGGGACAGGGTCAAAAGGAAGAATAGAATAAATGGGAGGGTGGGATAGCATTAAGGGAAATAAGGTTAGTTTTTCACAGCACGTCTACTATGGGAGTGTTTTGCATAACTGCACATGTATAACCTATACTGAGTTGCTTGCCTTTTCAATGAGGGTGGGTGGGGAGGGAGGAAGGGAAAAAATTTGGAACCTAAAGTTTTAAAAACACATGTTTAAAAAAAATGTTTTCACATACAACTGGGAAATAAGAAATACAGGAAATGGGATACAGAAATCTATCCTGCCCTACAGGAAAATAGAAGGGGAAGGGGATAAGAGAAGGGGGGCGAGAGACAGAAGGAAAGGCAGACTAGGAGAAGGGGTATTCAGAATGTATGCCATCTTGGGGTGGGGGGAGGGGCGAGATGGGGTGAAAATTTGGAACTCAAAATCTTGTGGAAGTGAATGTTGAAAACTAAAAATAAATAACCACACACACACACACACACACACACACACACACACACACAAAAGAGAGATCATTAGCAACTTTGGAGAGAACAGTTTCAATTGAATGATAAGGTCAGAAGCCAGTATGTATCCCTTAGGATACATACTGGAAAATGTAGGTAATATAAAAATGAGAAATACCAATAAAATGATTTTTTAAAAATTCTGAAAATTCCAATAGGAGTGTAATTTTTAATTTCAAAATGATATTAACAATCAGGAAACAGAACAATTATATAACTACCATGAATGGAAATTTGAGTATATAAAAAAAGAAAAACAATCCTCACAGAACTTTAAAGTTACTTGTTTTCAAAACATGATTCATAAATCGCTTACTGACAGAGAAGTAGTGTATATGAGGGTAATAATCAATGTATATGTATGTATTATGTGTATGTATGTGTGTGTATCCCTTTGGAAAGTAAACTGAGAACTCATAGATGTAAATTCCAGACAGTGCTTGTTGTTAGACTATTGTTTCCCTCCTCAGTGAGCTCTGGAAGTGAATATGTTACTACCTTCTGTAAGTGATTCTGAATATTGTGTCCACAGAATTGTGGTCTCCCAGGATCACCAATCAGCACTTTTGTTCCATGAGTCCAAATGGATTTCCTCAACCACTGAAGAAGTCTATCTGAAAGGTCTTCATCATAAAACATATCTCCTAGGACAATGAGTTCCCACTTATCCAGTTCTGAGTCCAAGATGTTTTCAGTTAAAATGGGAAGGGGGTCCAGTTTATTTAATTTGCAGTTCAACAAGGTAGCCACTCCTGCAACTAAGAAAAAGTATACAGTGAGTTGATGAGTACCGTACAATTATAATTCTTTATCACATTATTTTACTTAGGAGGAGCTGAGTCATTTGAACATTCAGACAACCTACTTAAGTTGTGTTTCCCTTTTTCCAAGTAGTGTTTATAGGTAAACAAGTCGAGAGGTTGCTAGCAGATCGTTCTTCTGGCATATTTACAAGGGAGAAGAAAATAAATATTCATTGCTTAAGTGAACATACTTTATCCCTTGTTCAGTAATAATTCCAATATGAATAGTTAATTACACTATCTACCTTCTTCATGGGCATTTCTATATTTAAGGAAGATAAATCTCTATGTAATTAGTAAGCCATATACCCTTGTAGACTGTTTGCTCTGATTTTATTAAATTGTGACCAAAGACCCTACTGTATGAACAAGCTATGATCACTGTGATGTGTGTGTGTGAAACAAGAAGGGTAGTAGTAAGAGATGACAAGGGGAAGAGAAGGAGAGTCAATGTGGAGTCTGCATTTCCAAGTTCTAGAAGTTTCAGTAGAGCAGAGGAGGCCTGAGCTTACATATGAGGAAAAGGAAAAAATAAAACCAGAGACTGCGGTCACCCCCAAAAAATATCAGCAGTTTCATTTTTTTCTGTACAGATCTTTAAAGTTACCTGTTTTCAAAACATGATTCACAAACTGCTAACTGACAGAGAAGTAGGGTATATGAAGGTAACTGTGCCGGTTGGGCCGTGCACTCTCCTTCTAACAGTTGCAAGCTGCCAGGGTCATACTCACCAGTCCTCGGAGCCCACCCGGATAAACACAGAGACGAGCCGATCGGGAGGTGCAAGCACTCGAACTTTATTCAGAGACCATCACAGCAAGGCCAAGCAGGAAAGCAAGAGCAGGAGCAAGAGAGCGAGCTCCGATCTCTACCGCCCCTTATATACCTTCCTAGCCCCTCCTCCTCAGCCCGCCTACTAGTGATTGGTTGTACCGGAAGGGGATGTCTGAGGTTAGCACTGCACCAAGGGAGAGGATGTGACAAAGGAAGCTAGGCCCAGATACCGGAAGGAGGCATCTGGGGTTAGCACTGCACCTAGGGAGATGACTAGACAAAGGGAGCTCGTTCTCTGCCGCCCCACTCCCACGTGGCACAGCCCCCTGCCTCAGGAGCACATGCTCCGGCTACTTCCCCGTATCCTGTTCCTACCCCAGTTCACCACAACTCCACATGGCACAGCCCCCTGCCTTGGGAGCGTGAGCTCCGGTTACTTCCCCATATCCAGTTCCTATCCCAGTTCCACAACTCCACATGGCACAGCCCCCTGCCTCGGGAGCATAAGCTCCGGTTACTTCCTAATATCTTGTCCCTGCCCTATCTTGCCACAACCCCGACGTGGCACATAGCCAACATCAGACAATCCCTCACAATTCCCCCTTTTTGTTTAATCAAGGGGCGGAGACAGGGTCTCAAGACTAGGGCCTCGGTTTTGAGTGCCTCTAATGAACCTCTAAGAATCCTAAGGAAACACCCTAATATAGTGGGTAGTAACAATAACAGTATAAATGCAAAAAGAGCTATAAATGCCCAATGGGTTATAAGGGAGGGGATGGGGAAAGAGGTATGCTTAATCCAATCGCTAAGGTGATGAACAATATCATCAGTCTCGTGTTGATGCCAAGTGTCAGATATGTTCCACGCCAGTCTAATTAACACCCGCAAAGCCTGGAGTTCAGAGGAAAGATTTGTAGCTTGGATCTGGGAAACGGTACAGGTATCATTACACCAAATAGAAAAGAAAGAGAGAGTGTCATTTATGCTTTGTGAAAGGGTGTTGCAAGTGGTGTTATGGTTTAAGGGTGTTACACAAATGGATCGATATCGGCCATCGCATGGCAACTGCTGTCTCAATTCCAGCCACATAAGTTCATTCCCAATGTCCTGGGTAGCCAATGCTATTTTATGAATCTGCTCCTCCAGCTGCTGATCAATATCAGCCTGCACTTGGAGGGCATGGGCAAATTTATTGGCCAGCTCCTCTATTTGTGAGGCAAGTAATTGCTGTCTGCTATATAAGTCCTGTATCTGGAACTCCTCGAAGATGGATGCCGCCAACGCAAGTGCCCCCAGCCATTCTCTGTTGTGTCGACGATAATTGATCGCTTTACCTATCTCCTCCCACCTGGCATCTTCAGCAGTGGGGAACCAATTGGCAGGGGTCTTAGCTTTTGTCAGTGTAAGGTGGTGAATGCCGAGGAGGTACAATGTGGAGTTCAGGGTCCAGCTGCCCTGTAAGATGATCTCAGGAGTAGCCTCTTCCCACGTCAGGATTTGTCTTTGAGCACCTTTTACCAGGATCCATCTCTCCACTCCCGCCTCCTCCTGTTGTCCTCCTCAGTGTGGCCTTCGACAGGGGTGCCCAGGGCACTGGAGCTGACGTAACTTGTGGCAAAGTCCCGATCGTGCAAAAAAGTGAAAACAGTTTACTTAGTTTAGTCATCCTAACTGTCTTTTCTTTCTGCTCTCTCTGAATTTTCTGTTGACTGTGTTTCTTCTCCCATCCTTGTTGTCTCTCCCGGGGCTTCTTCAACTCGTTTTGTTCTTCTTTCTGGTACCCAGCAGTTCTGGCCATCAGGATCTGTAAGACATAAATACCCCGGTCCTCTCCACAACACTACGGATGGGCCTTGCCAGTTTCCCTCATTGTCCTTCCAGAGGACTTTCTGGTTAAGGGATGGTGCATGTAGTGCTGTTTTTAAGGGGCCAGTTGAATTGCAAGTGGGTGGTGTTATTAGCTGTAGCATGCTGGGGGATAGGCCCGTGTCTCTATCTAGACAGAGAAAATTGTATGTATATAAAGCTTTATCCACGTCTGCTTGGGTAGGCCACCACCTGGAGCCGCGACCTCCTACTCCTCCTTTTTGTTTACTGAGGGTGGCTTTCAAGGTACGATGGGCTCGCTCAACAATAGCCTGACCTGTGGGGTTATAGGGGATCCCTGTAACATGCTTAATGCCAAAGGATGTAAAAAAGGCAGTCATTTGTGTAGATAAATAGGCAGGCCCGTTGTCAGTTTTAATGACGTGAGGGATCCCCACAGAGGCGAAGCAATGGTACAGATGCTTAATAACTGATGGGGTGTTCTCCTTACTGGATACAGTGGCCATCATAAATTTGGAAAAGGTATCAATGCAGACATGGATAGCGACACGGCCAAGGTGAGTAACATCCATTTGCCACAAGTCATTGGGAAAAAGACCGCATGGGTTAATCCCTTTTCTAGGTGGAGAGGGGAGGAAGGGAACACAGCGCACACATCGCCTCACAATTTGTCGAGCCTGTTCACGAGTTAAACCATACAGGCGTCTCAGGGAGCTCGCGGGTAGGTGTAAAAAATCATGGGCTTGTTCAGGAGGGGTGAGGACTGGCAGTAGGGAGCACTGTAAAGCACGATCCGCTACATCATTGCCCTCAAAATGCCTCCTGAGGTGGATTGATGAGAATAAACATGGAGAACATAGAAGGGGTTGTTTCGCTGCAACAAAATTTGCTGTAGCTCACTCAGGAGAAAGGATATGGTGGAATTATGAGGTTGGAGGACAGCGTCCTCTATGCATCTAAGAACCTTTACTGCAAGCATGGTGGATGGCAAAGAGCTCATTTTTCTGTGTAGGGTCATAGGGGGTTTCTAATACTGTTATTTCCTTGGAGGCCTCATGATAAATAGAGGCCTTTCGGTTTTTTGTAGCATCAGTGAAAACATTTGGGCCTTGAACAGGTTCTCCCATAACCTTTCGTTGGGGGGGTACTAAGGTTATTTGCTCTAGCATAGGGAGGAGCAGGCAGGAGGAATGGGGACTCACCTCGGCCCATTGGGAACAATGTGCCCAAGACCAATAGGTTTGCATAATGGCTTCTCGCTGTCCAGGTTCAAAAACGAGTAAAGTAAAGGTCGCTGCCCAGACAAGTGGACAGCCCTTTGTAAGGCAGCTAAGGCTAGTTCCCCTAACATCTCCTAATAATTTGGCAGCACCTTGTGAGCCTTCTTTGCATATACAAATTCTAACAATTTGGGACCTTGGTGTATAACACAAAAAGGGCTCTGTTGATTGACCAAGGAGACCTCTATTGTACTTTTGGGGTCCCACCCTGGCGGTCTGGGCCTGGGCAGCAAGTGAGAGTATTTGGGACACTGCTGCCTTAGCAGCAGGAGTCCATGCCCGAGGGGAGTTCAAATTTGAATTTCCCTTTAATATATAATATAAAGGCTGCATTACAGCAGGAGGAATGGGTGTGCGGGCCTGGAGCCATTGGATCTGTCCCACTAACTTTTGGAAGTGATTCAAGGTGGTTATCTTATCAAGCCGTAGTTCAGGAATTTGATTGCTAATAGAAACAGCCTCCATACGAAGGCCCAGGTATGTGAGTGGGTAGTTTTGTTGGACCTTATCAGGGGCCACCACCAGACCATAATGAGTAAGAGCAGAGATGGTTTCTTTTACCAATCTTGCTAGTGTCTCATCAGTGCTAGTGGCCAATAAAATATCGTCCATATAATGAAGTATTGTGGCTTTAGGCCATTTGTCCCTGACAGGGTCCAGCATTCTCCCCACATAAGCCTGGCATAAGGTGGGGCTGCAGCACATTCCTTGGGGCAGGACCTTCCACTGATATCTTCAATCTGGCCCTGCATTATTGGTAGTGGATGTGGTAAAGGCAAATCTCTTTCTATCTTCTGGGGATAATGGGATAGAGAAAAAACAATCTTGGATGTCTATGACTGTCACAGGCGATCCAGAAGGCACTAAATTAGGGGAGGGGAGCCAGGCTGTAGGGTTCCCATGGGCTCTAGGGTGGTGTTAACCGCCCTGAGGTCTATTAACATTTGAAATTTCCCTGATTTCTTTTTTATTGCAAACACTGGGCTGTTCCAGGGGCTGGACGTGGGCTCAATGTGCCCCGCCTGTAACTAGTGCCGCACTATATCAGGTAAAGCCTGGGCTTTCTCTGCAGGG